AGATGCTTGTGGAGGCTCTCAGTCGTACAGGAAAGTTCCATCGTAGAAAGGTTTCCGTCAGTTGTCGAAGTCGAAGCGAACCGTCCTTTTTTGTTTTTTGTTTTTGTTTTTTTACCCACAGGTACAGATGACGACTGACGGAAACCTTTCTACGATGAACTCCCACCCAGAGCTTTTCCCATGTCCCGGGGGAGGCGGGGGACATTGAGTCTGAATGGACCATGTTCCGTGCCTCTATTGTTGCCGTAAGGTGGTTGGTGCCTGTCGTGGCAGCACCCCCGTACTCGCTGGTCGACACCAGCAGGAAGGGATGCCGTCAAGCTGAAGAAGGAGTCCTATCGGGCCTTTATGGCCTGTGGGACCCCAGAGGCAGCTGACGGGTATCGACTGGCTAAGCGGAACGCAGCTTCAGTGGTCGAACCCCCCGGTGGTCGAACCCCCTGATAAGGGCTGTTCGGAACTCTGACATACAGTACTACTGATGTCAGAGTTTGTTTCGCATTGCTGGCAGTAAGTCGAAATCGTTTGCAGTGAGGGTTGGACTCCGCCAAGTCTGCCCTTTGTCGCCGATTCTGTTCATAATCTTTATGGACAGAATTTTGAGGCGCAGCCGAAGTGTTGGTGGCCTCAGTATTGCATCTCTGCTTTTTACAGATGATGTGGTACTGTTGGCTCCTTCAAGCAGGGCTCTCCAACTCTCACTGGAGGGTTTCGCAGCAGAGTGTGAAGCAGTTGGGATGAAAATCAGCACCTCCAAATCTGAAACAATGGTCCTCAGTCGGAAAAGGATGGAATGCCCTCTCCGGGTCGGGGAGGAGATCTTGCCCCAAGTGGAGAAGTTTAAGTATCTTGGGGTCTTGTTCGCGAATGAGGGCAGAAGGGAGCGAGAGATCGACAGGCGGATTGGTGCAGCGTCTGCTGTGATGCGGACTTTGTATCGGTCTGCCGTGGTAAAGAAGGAGCTGATCCAAAGGGTGAAGCTCTCAATTTACCGGTCGATCTACGTCCCAACCCTCATCTATGGTCACGAGCTATGGGTTGTGACTGAAAGAGCGAGATCCCGGTTGCAAGCGGCCGAAATGAGTTTCCTCCGCAGGGTGTCCGGGCTCTCCCTTAGAGATAAGGTGAGAAGCTCGGTCATCCGGGAGGGGCTCAGAGTCGAGCCGCTTCTCCTCCACGTCGAGAGGAGCCAGATGAGGTGACTCGGGCATCTGAGTAGGATGCCTCCTGGACGCCTCCCTGGTGAGGTGTTCCGGGCATGTCCCACTGGCAGGAGACCCCGGGGACGATGACCCAGGACACGCTGGAGAGACTATGTCACCCAGCTGGCCTGGGAACGCCTCGGGATCTGCCAGGAAGAGCTGGAAGAAGTGGCTGGGGAGAGGGAAGTCTGGGTTTCCTTCCTAAAGCTGCTGCTCCCGCGACCCGACCCCGGATAAGCGGTGGAAAATGGATGGATGGATGGATTTTCAATATATGACAGACACATTACAATTCTGATGTTGACTTTAAACTTTTTACACAGTGTTATTTGTCTTTGTAAAGCCCGTGTCTCACTGAGCAGCAAAAGTTTTTTCGTACAAGATTACATCCATGTACACATGTAATACTTTGAATCGATTTTTTCTTTTATAAACAATAACTAGAGTTATTCTTTGTTTCGCGCACCTACCTTTTTTTGCCAATCCGATTGAGAAAACAGAGGTCTTCTAAGTGTTTGTAACAAAAAATGCTCGTTGACACTGGCGTGAAACTTTGCGAGAACAAAACTGTATCGTTCCCATTTTGTGGTCGATTTACATGCCCTATTCTTTTCTTTTGGCCACTCAAACAACTATTTGCCTAATGTCAACAGCACATCGCCACACAAGGCCGAGGCATTTCGGCAAATAACTCCCTAACAATGACAAAGAGTAGTTACCAGGATAATCAACAATGCATAACAAAGACCGACTGGTGACTCGGCATTCTGGAAAGGGCGTCACTTGCAGGAGATTGCCGAAGAAAAGAATTTAAATTGTTTAGCGCGTCGCTATGTGGATAACTACGAACCTGGGTACGTTGCGTTAAAAAGTGTGCGTGAAATAGTTTTAGCCATAAGTGTAAGTTGAGGGGTTCGTTGTTTTTAGTGGATAGCTCTACTTTACGAACGGCAAAAGGAGAGATGGAATCATTTGAATGCAGTTTTATTGAAAAGGAAAAAAAAAAGACTTCTGCACTGCAGCAAGTTCAAGAACACACTCATCCTTACGGCAACTACAACACTTTTGTATTTCTCAAAAGATTGTTGGCCAAGTTAACTTCACGCCTGACTTTTAATAATAGCCAAGCCACCTGATGTGAAGGCACAATCATCTCAGAGACACGTCTTATGTAATGATTTCAAGAATGAGCACATATAGGAAACAGATACGATCTGGAATGTTCCTAATGTCACAAACAAACCAAGGTTCCCCAACACGTGACCAATGCTTCATCTATGATCTTGAGATTGCGATGTCGCCCAACAGTGCCTTGTTTTCAGTTGCAGTACAATTCGAACAGCCAGTACCCACGCGACTGGACGCTCCCACACATGAGGAAGTCTTTATGTAAAATCAGCTTGACATGAGGTGGATTAAATACCAGTCTGACAAGATGATCAAAACAAGATGCTCAAAACAAGCCAACATCCAATTGGTAAACAAAAACGTCACATTTGTAGGATGAACACGATTAAATCAAGTAGAATTTGCATAAAACCTTGTCAACTCCATCTCATAGTTCCATTCACGTTGAAATCACAGAAGGCTATCACGTTTCTTTGCTCAGACATCATCACAAATATGGACAAGTAACAAGTGGTGGAACACTTGTTATTGTATGTTTTATATATGTTCAATAAACAAACAAACAAACAAACAAACAAACAAACACTTCAGATGCTGAGGGTTAAATGCAGGCTCTGGCCTACCGGGGTGGTGTTTGCATCATGTTTTCCACAGGGGGCATGTGGGC